TCAATGTCGAAGTACTACCCAAAAGCATTCCAACTAAACTACCACCATCATTGAATACAGGAGCACCAGAATATCCTCGTTTAGATCCAGGCGTACCGACTGTAGTATTAGGGGTTTTACAAAAAAAGGAGTTTCTTTACCGTAATTCGTATTATCTGCCGTTAGCCCTTCAATAATACCTTTGCTAATTGCAGGATGAGTATGATCGAGATCGGCCGGATAACCCTGCTCAGGAAACGTTTGATGAATCTTTTAGATTGTTATGACGCACCATTACAAAATAATTCATCCCTCTATATATACCATCAACTGGCGGTGACAAATCAGGAAGTTCATCCGAGTGCAGAACAGCGAAATCAGATTCACAACATATGAATTTGCATTTCACATCAAAAGTGCGTTTTTCTGAACCACATATTTGATATTTTTTATCTATCACGAAATCCAGATGAGCAGCCGTCAAAACACGTTGACCATTAATTAAAAAGCATGTCCCATTGAATTTTCCCCCTTGGATTTGGAATACTCGGGTCTGCCACCTGTTCGACACTGTTAACGCTTCTAAAGACAATATGTTTGACAGTTTACTGAACTCGAATTTTGGATACTTCTCTCTTTTTCCGTCTCCATGGGAGTCATTGGACGTGACGCCATCTTGGATTCTACAATGAACAGCATGGACTGACAATCAGGAGGTAGTTGAAAGTATTCTTCGTGACCACGAACACATCTTAATAAGAATGCAGTGCTCAGAATTTTAAATTCAAAACTCACACAGGTAAGTAAACGGCACCGCCGTCAACCTCGAAAGATAACGCAAGAAGGGCTTCTTTCGGAAGCAGGAATGCAGATTTAATAGAAAAAAAATTAATTTCATTTTTCCCAGAACATATAATTTTTTTCAACACATCATCCATCTGCATGTTCACAATCATCTCTGAATACTTCAATATATGAATGGATTATTAGGCAACAACACAAACATAAAGTATGAAAATTAGGGAGAAACAAGCATTCAGTGAGCGGGAAGCAGTTAAACATGTAGAGAAAGTTTTTTTTTTATGCCATGAAGCATTGTCCGTTTATAATACTAATGAAATACGGAATTGCTTTCAGAAGTATTGAAAGGACATATCGAGTAGAATAATCGAACGAAATCAAAGTTTTGGTAAAGACTCAAATAATTTTCAGACGATTTCCGAATACACAATGACCTAAACGTCAATAGTAGAAAACAGTTATAGCGGATCATCAACCATTTTCTCTGAATAACCCCCCCCCCTATCAACTGACATTTCCATAGGTTACATGGTGGTACCCTCAAGAGAGTATTTTTTAAACGAGCTTACACTCCTCAAACATTATAATGGCCTGGACCAGCGATAACGAAAGCATGTGAACGATTACAAATAGCTTTTCGCAAAGATATGTATTCGACTCTTGCAACTGTATCCTGATCAACTCTGAAATTCCAGATACATACCACCAACAGTAACTGATCAATAAGCGCGCGAATCTAGAACAAGTGAGTCAGAAAGTTGGCCAAAAGCTAAGTTTAAACTCCAACTTGGGATAGCTACGGAAAAACGAAAGGGTGTGGAGAGAAGAATGTGAGTTTACTGGTGAAAAGATGAATGATTGTGGATGACTAAAATAAGAGGTAGCAAGATATGAAGTTGAGAAGATGAGGACAAATAAGAAACACAACAGCAACTAGTATGTGGGCAAGAGACAGCAGTGAAACTGAAAAAAAAACTTTTAAAAAAGCCAACAGCTATAGTGCAATGTAGAGTGGGAAGAAAGGTTTTATTGTGGCACTGTATATAATTTAACAATTAATAAGAATTTTATATTAGTTAACATAACTGCCATCGCAAAAAAATGAAAGTTAACCCGCAAGAAACTGGCCGAAAGAATCAATAACAAAGACTGAATTTGAATTAATCAGGATCTTATTGGGATCGAAAAATGTTTCGTCGATGTTCTCTTCCGAGATTTATTTAACTTAAGAGTCTAGCTAAAGTTTTAAACTTTTGTTCTAAAATTTCTACGCGAGCATCAAGTTTCATCTGCTCTTGCTTCAGCTGACGATTATCCTTAAAGAAAATAATTGAATAAAATATAATTAATTTGTTCGTACTCTTCG